GCCTCCAGATGGAAGAGGAGGAAGGAAAACTGAAAATCTGTGATGCAGTGTGCACATGCTTCAGAGCAAAATAAGCATGGACAGTCTGGGAAGAAAACATTAGAACTGTAGAACCATAGAATAGTTAAGGTTGGAAAGGACATTAAGATCATCTAGTTCCAACCCGCCTGCCATAGGCAGGGACACCTCACACTAAACCATGTCACCCAAGGCTCTGTCCAACCTAGCCTTGAACACTGCCAGGGATGGAGCATTCACAACTTCCCTGGGCAACCTATTCCAGTGCCTCACCACCCTTACAGCAAAGAACTTCTTCCTTATATCCAATCCAAACTTCCCCTGTTTAAGTTTTAACCCATTACCCCTTGTTCTGTCACTACACTCCCTAATGAAGAGTCCCTCTCCAGCATCCTTATAGGCCTCTTTCAGATACTGGAAGGCTGCTATGAGGTCTCCACGCAGCCTTTTCTTCTCCAGGCTGAACAGCCCCAACTTCCTCAGCCTGTCTTCATACGGGAGGTGCTCCAGTCCCCTGATCATCCTCGTGGCCCTTCTCTGGACTTGTTCCAACAGTTCCATGTCCTTTTTATGTTGAGGACACCAGAACTGCACACAATACTCCAAGTGAGGTCTCATGAGAGCAGAGTAGAGGGGCAGGATCACCTCCTTAGACCTGCTGGTCACGCTGCTTTTGATGCATCCCAGGATACGGTTGGCTTTCTGGGCTGCAAGCACACACTGAAGCTGGCTCATATTCATTTTCTCATCAACCAACACCCCCAAGTCCTTCTCCGCAGGGCTGCTCTGAATCTCTTCTCTGCCCAACCTGTAGCTGTGCCTGGGATTGCTCCAACCCAGGTGTAGGACCTTGCACGTGGCATGGTTAAACTTCATAAGGTTGGCATCAGCCCACCTCACAAGCGTGTCAAGGTCCCTCTGGATGGCATTCCTTCCCTCCAGGGTATCAACCAAACCACACAGCTTGGTGTCATTGGCAAACTTGCTGAGGGCGCACTCAATCCCACTGTCCATGTCAGCGACAAAGATGTTAAACAAGACTGGTCCCAACACCGATCCCTGAGGGACACCACTCGTTACTGGTCTCCAGCCGGACATTGAGCCATTGGCCACAACTCTCTGCATGTGGGAAAGAAGGGAAAGTAGGGAAAAAAGAGTATAGGACAAAAGCTCGAATGAGTTCAGCATTGTTTACTGGAAGGGGGACAAGTGAAAGATTCTAACTGAAAATGCTGTAAAAATATTCTGATTATATAGATTTGGTAGAAATTTTCATCTTTTCCTCTGCATGTGGTAAAACTCTTCAACTGTAAGAACTTTAAACAGCCACCTTTTCAATTCTGTTTGTACTTTTGTGACTTAATTCTGCCCCAGCATCCCTTTCCCTTTCCTGGCAGCTGCCTGCCTGCCCGCCCACCATGGTGGTTGCAGTCCCCTCACTGGTGTTTGCTGCCTGCTGTGCCCTGAGCCTGGTGTGGGAAGCCCAGCAAACACCTCCAGACTCCATGATGCTGCTGCGATCTTACTGCTCAATAATCGAGACAAAAGTAGTGGCTGCTGGGGGTGTAATCACACAGTCGAGTCTGCAGGTTTGGAGTCTGGCCTGTGAATGTCTTCTGTAATTAGTAGCTGCATTGATATTCTAGATCAAAATACAAAAGGACTTTTAGCCAGTGATTCTAAATCACTTCTTAGCTAATACAGGTGAAGAGGTTTTTAACATTGATCTGCAGTGCTACCAGCTGTAGTTTTCATCTTTCATTTGAGGAGATTCCAGATTATTTCAGTTTGTGTGTATCTTCATGAACATAAAAATTTTTTGGTCATAAAACCAGATTTATTGAGAGCTGTTCTGAACAGGTAATAAGTTTTTAACTCCTGTATAGATTTGTTCAGGTTTTGGAGGGTCTTTTTAGTATTCAGGGTGTGTTTTTTGCAGAAAATGTAGGAAAGTTTTAAAATCATGAATAAAATGTAATGGCGTAAAAATCCTTTTTTGTTCATGTCAGTTATGCAAGAGGTATGTCACAAGCCGTGAGGTCAGTATCTCTACAGCCATTTTCTTCATGTTCTTCAAGTTAAAAATATTCCTTTCGTATGCACCTCCATTGTTTATTAAAGTGAATTAGCCTAAAGTGCTGTCCTGTATGCAGAGGTCTACATGTCTATATGCTGTGCCTGTGAGGTAAAGGTATCGCAATATTGCATCATTTAAGTAAGGCTATTCTTTCTGCAGCCTCCAGGAAATCTCAGCCGTGGGCAGTGTATAAAGTAGAGTCTGCATTCTGCTATGCTGATATTTAGCATGCAGATGCAATGTGACATATACAAGCTTTAGGGGGTAAAATCTTAAATTAGAAATACTTATATAATATTAAAGTATGTGCACAATCCCTGTGTTCAGTATCAGGTAGTCCCGGTTGACTGTTAATGATAGTTTTACTTCTGTTGCTGGGGTAAGCAGGTCTCTGTTTTGGGAGTTGGGAAGAGTTTCCTCTGTTTGTAGTTTACATTGTTTAGTTTAGTCCATGTTTACACATTGCCTCTGTGCTTCGGGAAGGAGTGTTTTTAATGAGTTGTGTTTGCCAAAGTAATAAAATCCTCCTGTTGGGGAAACAGCCTGGAAGCCAGCTTCAATGTTGTATCAGAGACCAGTTCATGCTGTCAGGTGGATGCAGTCCAGTGTTCTCTGCCCTTGAGTGTTGTGCAGACACAGGACCACCTCCTGGCTGGCAAGCACACAGAAACAACTGCCAGCATGATGGGAAGGAAGCACAAGGAAATACTGTAACTAGAGTCTTAAACCTTGTAAGACTCTGTCTAAAGGCATGCAGAAGGAATTTGCATTACCAGCAGAAGAAGAAAATCACATGTGAACACTTCGGGCTTCTAGTTTTCTAAAAGGATCTAGATGAAACACTGCTCAGCGTGTTTCCAAGGCCTCCAGGCAATTATGTAGATATCAGAGTAAAGCTTATAATTGGAATATGGGGAGGATGAAAGGACAGAGTTAGGAACAAACTCAGTTTATAAAATTAAATGATTGCATAATAATCCTTTTGCATGAAATGAAATATCAATAAATGCAGTCAAGCTATGCATGATCTGTATATCCGTGTTTTTAATTGTAATGTCATTTTCCTGTTGCCACATATTCACCAGTTCTCTCACTAAGGATGAGTTTTGAACAACTAATTGTGTGTTTATATGGCTTTCCATAAAAAGATGCAAATTTGTCATCTGAAGTTTGCAACTTGCCAGAAGGCTCCTTTTCCTTTAGGGAATATTTTGCTTTGACTGTTAATCATATCAAAACCATTGCAAACAGCTAAGCACAAGGTATCCTTGGGAAATCAGATTATTTCTTTTCTTAATAAGTTTTCCCCCACAAACCTAAGCATCATGAAGAGATTTTTTTTAAGAAATGGCAGTGGTTTTCAGCAGTAAAGCTTGAACTTGGTCATTAGCAAAACTTGTGTCAGCATTTTGAGAAGCTTTTTTGGACTCCACTCTTAAACTCTGCCTTCTCTTTTGGGGAAGTTATGAACTCTAACCTTTCATATGATGGTTGAGTGAATACAGAGAATGAAAACTATCTCATGCGTAAAGTTGGTCATGTCAAAACACATGCATAACCATGGAGAAAAATGTCTTGAAGTTTAAGTTATTGTTGCCTCTCCTGTAAAACTGGGCAAGCCAGATATCTGCTTTGTTAACTTGGTTTCTGTATGAGCACTCAGCAGAATTGCTTTCTTAATAAAAACCATTGTTGTTGTTACTGGGCTGAGCTGTTAGGTAAGATCTGAACCCTTGTTTGTCAGAACTGATTTGCACTAAATGCACAGAAGTCATTTTTGTGAAAGCGAAGTTGAACTTTTTGTGAGTTACCAAGCAATCACTTCCCTGCCCTGTATGCTCAAGCTCAGGGGCTGTATGACCTGCAGCCCTCTGCTCCAGAAATGGACTTCAATGAATCTTTGCCTAGTAAAAAGCATGTTGTAGAAATATCTCTTCTGAAGAACAACTGAAATTGGTTTTCCTCAAACATTTCCATCCTTAATTTCCAAATGCTTGAATATGTCAACAGTGAAGACATTTTTGCCAATGACGATGACATGGTAATGTTGGAGGAAAGTCCCTGTATACAAGAAAAGGCTGCATCTATTAGCTGTACTCAGTACAGAGTTTAGAATTTTTTTGCATATACTTGCTGCTCTATGCCAGATTAGGTACACAGGCACACACCTCCCTGCCTACTGCTGCGTAAATTCAGATAGCCCTCAAAGTTGAATTTAGAAACTTTATTGTTTTGAGTGAGGCCTAAAGCTGGCAGCCCAGCTTCTGAAATCTATAGGTGGACTATGCTAAACTCTCCTTATTTAGATGTTTTTCTCAGGAGATGAAAACTAGTAAGGATGTTTGTTTCAGAGGAGTGGTAATTGGCTAGTATGTTTTAACAAGCTGAAGGTTTACAACTTATTTTGAAGTAATGGTTTGATATAATCTTAAATGATTGCCTTGGGCTTGATTGGCATTCACCTACAAGTGCCAGAAGAAAGATGATCTTGACTTGGTTGAATTCAGGGAGCTGTGAGGATTGAGCAAGCTTATTAAGAGATTTCCGTTTTGACTATGATCTTCTCACTGTATGGACAGTCCTGCTGTGTATAGGGACTCCAGTAACATCCATTTTAAATAGAAGAAAGATTTACTTTGCATTAGTCATGGTGGTTCTTCAGATGCTGCACAACAGTGTGTTATGCTTCCAGATTGAATGGAAAAAGCCCACATCAATGTGTCACACTGCTCAATGTACATTAGACAAGTAGATATCGGGTGCATAGTGTTAGGTTAAATTACATCAGGGACTTACTTATTCAGCACAGTTGCTTTCTGCTCATGCCTTTTGCTAATGACATTAAACGCCATTTGGTCTTAGCTGGGTGCATCTGGATTAATGTCAATGCATTCTCTTGTTATAGGAGCAGCTTACTGCCAGTTCATGGACATGTTGTTCCCAGGGTGCATTAGTTTGAAGAAAGTAAAGTTTCAAGCAAAGCTGGAGCATGAATACATTCACAACTTCAAACTTCTGCAAGCATCGTTTAAAAGAATGAATGTGGATAAGGTAGGCATCCTACAATCACCCATTGTATTTCAGTCATTACAAGTTTTGAAAGTTGTATAAACTGGGTAAAATAGAGGAAACAAACTTCAATACTTTAAGTCCATTGTTCAAATTTTGGACTGGGAACTACAGCTACAAGTTGTATGTGAAGTCAAGAATATGACCTTTTATCATCTGAAAATGGTATTTAGCCACAGAGGAAGAAATTTGGCATGCTCCATTTAAATACAAACTGAAAATTGAGTCCATGTGTCTGCTGAGGAATTGTGCAGCCTAACCTGTTGTATTTTAATATCAGAGACCCTTTTGATAAAATACCATGTGTTAGAAATTCCTTGCTATCAGTGAACTTTAATTTTAGATGCAGTAAAATTACCGATGACCTGAATTTCTAACAAAATAACTTGGAAATATTCTGTTCTAATTATTCTGTGTTTCTTTTCTAAAACCAAGTTTAAGGAATTTAAATTTTCCAAGAGCTGGAATAATTTACCCAGTGATTCAGTTGGTTGGACAGCACATGCGATCTTGTAAAGTTAAGAAGCCTCTTAGAAAATGGCTTTTTCAACCATAAGGTATTGGCTTATGTTTGAATGAGAGTTTGATGGATTCACCAATATTAATTACTGTGTTGATCAAAATAAATAATGAAAGCTGTGTGATCATACTTTTATTTTTACACTGCCTGTGTCTGCTCTGGCATTTAGTGATGCCTTATTCTGAAATTTAAACAGTCTTAATAGAGAATCCTGTAAGATTTTTACAAAGCACTGGAAAGCCCTCATTGTTTCCTGAAATGTTGTGAATGCTTCTATTTACAGGGTAATTTGCTAGTAAAAAATTGGAAAGCTTAATAAAGTTAACATAATGAAGTTAACATTGTCAGTTATTCTGCAGGGAGCAAACTTCCTATGCCTTCTCAATGTAGAAATAAGATACAAATGGAACAACCTGAAAGGGCATACAGAATGCTATGTTAATCCTTGTAGGGGTATTGTAGACTTACAAAATGCTGTACAGTTGGCTTAACCTTGAGCAAAAGTTAGAATTGCAAGGGGTTTAGGTACCCTTTTTCCAGCTGAAAAATGAATGCATTCAGGAGGCATTAAGGTGCATCTAACTTGGCTCTTTAACCAGCTGCATGAATTAAGCAAAGCAAGGCAACCCTCCTTCTGCAGCTGTAGTCCCTGTCTACCCACAGTGTCTGAGAACCTTAAGTTTTGTAATATTGCCCCAAGACACCTTTTGGAGGTTTCATTTCTCTGAAGAATTTGCAGGATATGGAGACATCCTCATAGAGTTTCTTTTGTTTTACTAAAACTTTATAGGCATTTTGGTCAGATTCTGCATGCCCACAAAGTGTTCTATGTATAGCTAGATATAGAATGGAAAAAAATTACAAGGTTTAAACCTCAGGGTTATTTTGTATGATGAACACGTGCTACCAAAATGTAGGTTGGCTTGAACTTCAGCATATCTTGGAAAAGCTGCTGGGTTTTTGTAATTCAAATAATAGGAGAGAGAGCAAGAAACTCCTGTCTGGACGTTTTGAAGAATTATTAGTTTTCAGTATGACAAACTGTAGCATGTCCATTAGAAACAAAAATCCCTGTTTAGCAGAATATAGTTTTACTCCCAGAACAGTTTCATTCATGTTGGCTGTCACTGCCACAATGAAATAAGAAAAGAGTGACTCTGTGAAAGAGCTGTTTAAAGACTTACATTCACCCACTGTATGGCCATCTCTAAGGCAGGGTCTTTGTTTTATTTTGGTTTTCTTTCCTATTAAGAGCGCTTGCAAATCTACCATAATTCCCTTTCTTTTAGGAAGAAAACAATGATGGAGGAATATATACTGATATAGTTGGTAGATTTATTCAAACAAGTGGGTATATGTAATGTTTATACTTAAAAATGGCAGTGATACATTGTTAGAACCTTTATTCTGCCTTCCAGGTAATTCCTGTGGAAAAACTGGTCAAAGGGCGCTTCCAAGACAACTTAGATTTCATTCAATGGTTTAAGAAGTTCTTTGACGCTAACTATGATGGGAAGGAGTATGATCCTGTGGAAGCTCGACAAGGCCAAGATGCTCTTCCCCCACCAGATCCCGGTGAACAGATCTTCAACCTGCCCAAGAAGTCTCATCATGCAAACTCTCCAACTGCAGGTAACTTGCGTCCTAAAGAATTCCATTTCCGTCTCTGAAGACAATTACACACTGGGATCTATTTTACATAAATACTAGTTAAAAATTATTTCCTTATGTGCGTGGGCCATTCTTTTTGCCTTGGCTTAGGCTTAGCATCTGAGGTGGCAGAAGTTAACTTCTTGTGGTGTAATCATGTTTGGCCCAGCTGTAGTGAGCGTAGGGTCTCCTCCACTAAACCCTTGATGTAAATGTTGTGGGTCCTAATGATATCTGATAGTGGAGACAAATGCATTTAATCTCCTTGTTGCTGGATGTGGTATGTGTAAGTGTATTCTAGATCATTAAATGGGAGTATGCTCTTCCCTCACACCTCTACCCTTACAGGAAATTACTAGCACAGACTGATTTCTTTTTTATTATTTATGGTGGGCGAGATGCTTCCAATCTTAAGGGCTGAACAGAAGGAAAAACAAAAAAATTGATTTATTGATTTGTGGTTTTATACACTTATTGTTCAGGTATGCGAGCCCTCTGAAATGAACAATATACAGCTATTGCTCTTTCTCAAAAACACCTCTCTCTTGCAAGTTTTTATTTTGGGTTTGTACTGGCTTTTGCTAGTTTAGAGTTAGCTTTCTTCACAGGTGATTGTATGGTGCTGCATTTCAGAGTTGTGACCAAAATAGTGTCGGTAAGACATGGATGTTTCGGTTACTGCTTACACAGGGTCAAGGCCTTTTCTGTCCCTCACACCACCCCACCAGTGAGAAGGCTGGAGGTGCACAAGAAGCTGGGAGGGCACGCAGCACAGACAGCTGACCCCAACTGACCAAAAGGGTATCCCATACCATATAATGTGCTGGGGAAAGGAGGAGGAAGCAGAGGGGGATGTTGAAAGTGGCAGTGTCTGTCTTCCCAAGTAACCATCGCATGTGGTGGAGGCCTGCTTTCCTGGAGATGGCCTGCCAACAGGAAGTGGTGAATTAATTCCTTGTTTCACTTGTGTGTGTTACATCTTAAACTATCTTTATCCCAATGAGTGAATTTTCTCACATTTACCCTTCTGATTTTCTCTACCATCCTACCCGGGGACAGTGAGCAAGTGGCTCTGGGGGCTCAGCTGTATACTGGGGTTAAACCACAACAGGGTTTCTGGAGCAGGCCAAAGGGCTAAACCTGATCTTTGGTGTTTGTGTAACATGGGCATGACTGGTGAGTAAGTAGATGCCACTTTTTGATAACTGAGTTAAATGAACAGAAGAGCAGCTAACATTTTTCTAACAGAATGATCACCAAAGAATTGTTACTGGGGTTGATAGCCTGTATGTGTATAGGTTTGTGCATATAGGTGTGTGCAAGTGTGTTTCTGTATGCACACTTTATTCCTTGAATGGTTTGTCCTGGGTTTACCTTCATGCTAACCCATTCCCCAAGTAAGGATTAATTTTCTGTTCACTTAAATCTGTGACCTGTCCTCTCATGGGCTCAGATATGCACCAGTGCTGGCAAAGGGAAGGGGTAGGTATAAGGCACTTGCAGATTTAGGCTGGCTTATGCTTTGGAATACCCAGATTTCAGCATTCTGCTCTGGTCGCTTCTGACGTCAAAGTGGGACATACTTGGCCTTCTGCCTTCAGCTCATTAGTGCTTCCAGGAAACTGAACACCTAATAGCAGGTCAGCGCAGCTCTGGGCTTGTTTACATCTTTGTTTTGCACCATCTTGTGTTTCAACTTTTGAATTTCAAGGCCTGGCATGCTATAATTTCCCATGTGATGTCTTGCACTCCCTTTGAAAATAGGAAAACCCAAGTGCTAATGTCACAATTGAGAAATTGGGATAGACACTTTTATTAATTACAGACTTTACCTCGCTTGTTAATTCTTCTTGCACATGGTCTGTTTTTACCGAAGTCACAAATATGTCATCCAAATTAAAGCTGTAAACGTGACAATCCTGGAGAAGTAGAATAGCCACTGGAGTGGAACCAGCCAGCTGATGCGGAAGATAAGGCAGTGATTTCATGTTGTGTTGCTGGTGTATGAAGAGCATGTCTCAAGACTTTCCCAGCAACTGAGATGGTGTGATGAGTTTTGTTAAGATCTTGTGGCTGTGAGACTTAGTATTTTTATGGAAAGGTTCCTTCAGTATTAAGTATTGTCCAGAAGTATGACAGGCAGGATGCTGGTTTAGTTTCCTTAGAGCTGAGGAGAGTGTGCACAGATGTTGTGATGCTAGGTGAAATGAGAGTTCTAGCTTTTGTTGCTGCTTCATTTTAGAACAGAACTATTTCTGTTAGGTGTCATTCATAGGTTTATTCAATTTCTGGGTGCACACATTTTCATTTCACGGATGCGTTTGTGCCACACCTCACAATATCATGTAGCCTGGTTGCTTGAAAGGATGGGAGCCCTTGATGGCTGCCTGTTGATAGAGGGCATTCTGGAAGGAGTGCAGTATGCACCTGCAAGCTGTGTGTGCCTCATCCCCTGCCATTTGGGAGTAAATTGAGGATGATCAGGGGACTGGAGCACCTCCCGTATGAAAACAGGCTGAGAAAGTTGGAGCTGTTCAGCCTGGAGAAGAGAAGGCTGCGTGGAGACCTCATAGCAGCCTTCCAGTATCTGAAGGGGGCCTATAGGGATGCTGGGGAGGGACTCTTCATTAGGGACTGTAGTGACAGGACAAGGGGTAACAGGTTCAAACTTAAACAGGGGAAGTTTAGATTGGATATAAGGAAGAAGTTCTTTACTGTAAAGGTGTTGAGGCACTGGAATGGGTTGCCCAGGGAAGTTGTGATTACTCCATCCCTGGTGGTGTTCAAGGCCAGGTTGGACGAAGCCTTGGGTGACATGGTTTAGTGTGAGCTGTCCCTGTCCATGGCAGGGGAGTTGGAACTAGATGATCTTAAGGTCCTTTCCAACCCTAACTATTCTACAATTCTATGTGGAAGCAAGTCCTGGGTAGTTGCGAAGTTGCCATGAAAGACATGCTTCTGTACTTCTGTCTTGTGCACTTTCACAATTGCCTGGAAATGAAGGTGTATTCGTTACTGTTGTTACACAAACCATAGCATGCTCATGTGAGCTAAGCAAGTTTAGTGATTTATTGAAGGGCAAAAAAAAAGTCTTGTGAGTTCTTCTGCAGCAAGTTAAGAATTCCCCACCCCATCTAGAGCTTATTTCTTTGATGATGAAAGCTCAAAAGGGGAATACGTACCCATGAGGAAGTACCTCAGGTGGGATAGTTTAAACTGCTATCTATGACTTTTATGTTGACTATACAGATGTCTTATGTTTAGTTTATACCTGACTTCTATGTTTACGTTTTATTGTTCTACTTTCCTGGCTCTTTGGTGAAATGGCTGAGGTTTTGGGCATGGCTGTACTTCCACTGACTTTGTTGTGAAAGCCGTAAACATTGTGGGCAGCTCGATGCAATAACCTCTTATACCAGTGCAGCCAGTACTTGCCAGCTTCTATAGCAGTTTGACACAGTAGCTTTTCTCTCTTTTTGTACATTTTCTTTTTCTGTGTCATTTTTAATGTGTGTGATTTGCCCTACATTAACAATGAAGCTCTGAAATCTTGTACTGCCTTGTTTCAGTTCATTAGCAGAACAAAAAGAAGCAATAGTGAAAGCAAATAAAGAACCCAGAAGATCTTTCAGCGTAATTCAAAAGTTTTCAAACAGTGTGCGGTAGACATAGAATGTATGCATCTATTGTTAAGTGTCAGGAGCAAGCAGACATATGAGTACTCATTCACACTATGATCTTTGGTTTTAACAGATTTTTAAATATGCCTATTATGAATTGATCAAGTATATAAATTTCTAAAGAAATAATTTGCTTAACTGTTAGTAATTTCAGATGCATTTTAGGTGATTCCTGTTGTTCCACAGAGTAACTCTTCCAGTGCAGTTTGCCAGACTTTTGCTTCCAAGTGATATAGGAGGTGCTGAGCTCTTTAATTATTCATAACTGCTTTATAGCACTCTGTTCTAACACTGTATTTTCAGAGGTAGACTAAGCTATGTCTTCCAGTTAACAAGAAAGTATCAAATCCTCAAGGACTGCTCTGAAAGCTTAACCAAAAATGTACTGGCATCAATTAGAATGAATTTTGGTATTTTAATCTGACAATAAAGCTGGATGAGACCCTTGGTTTCAGGTACCTGCTTTCCATACCTACACATAGCTATTTACCTGTATCTCTGCAAATGCACACTGTGGTCTTTATTTTACTTTTAGAGTTTCTTTTAAAGCAACCCAAACCTCAAGACATCTGAAAATGCACTGGGGTTTGTGTTCATTGGGGGGCAGGCCAGCAGCCATGGCCCTACCCCTTCCAAAGGCGAACCAACTGAGGAGTCAGCACAGGTCAAGGATAATGCAGCTTGGAAATGGAAGCACAAATGGGTCCTTACAACTAATCTGCTGTGCCACCCTCGCACTGCCTCATCCCTTCCTTGAGAGATAGAGCCGATTTGTTGTTGAGCTGACAGGGGTACAGTGGGTGTATGGCTTTGGTGACACGGGTAAAAGGCTGCTTCTAGAAAAACTAGGAGCAGCGAGGATTTGCCAGGTAAATCCAGCTCCCAAATCTGGGGGAATGAGTGTGTTCTCATCCTTCGAGGAGCAGAGCCAGCAGCGTAGACCACTGCTGCAGGCCTTCTGCCAGTAGCACCACAGCTGCTTTTAGATAGAACACCATCTGCTAGCCCTGAGCCAGCTTTCGATCTTCTACAGCCTCCACACTGCTCTAATGCAGTGGAAAACAGCCTGCAGATGCAGAGTGAAAATTGAGTCAAAATTATTGTAAGGGATTAAAATATTAGGGCACTGTTGTTTGTGCCAGCTCTAATGCTCCCCATGGAAAACAGCAGAAAAAGCTTCATTTGATCAAATTGAAAATGGTGATCAGGTTGTCAGGATTTTAGCTTAGTGTGTCTTATGTAAGTGCTCCTGTATGTCAGAGCAAATCTCCATGGAAAGCTGTTCTGTGTAGGGGTGTGAGG